TTTTTTTTTTTTTTTTTTGTTTTGTTTTAGAAGCCTGTTGTTAAGTAGCAGTTATGATTCAGGTAACTAGAAAAGTGAAGGAAAGATTGTTGGCGTTGCCGAAAAAGGAGAGGAAAGCCTATCTAAGGGAAATTCGCAAAAAACAGAGACCATTTTTCGAGTTGGGCTTGGAGTGCAAAAAGTTATGGGAGTTGTTCCGTAGGTAATTTTAAAAGATGTTGCACTGAGTAGCTGTTACCTCTGATGCGTAGGTTCTTCAGAATTCGTGCAAGTAATATTAGTGATTTAGCTCAATTGATCAGCCTATTTTGATTGGATATTACTTGCTAAATCTTGCCAGTAGCATTATTTTACAGTTCACATGTTTGTTCAAATACTTTCTTATTTTTTTAATAGATTTCCTTGTTAATCTTGTTGTTCCAATGATATTTTTGAACTTTTTTATTATATTTAATTGTAGAAGATTACCGTTTTTGAAGCAAATTTTCTTTTACAAAAAAGTGTTATCGAAAGTTACTTTTTTAGTTCTCGTTGTAAGAATGAAGAAAGGGAAAGGCTTGCTAGTGAAATGTTTGGCTTGATAAAAGGGAAACTGAAAGGGTTGGTATATGCTCATGATACTTCTCGGGTAATAGAAAACTTACTGACGTACGCCCGAGCTGAACTCCGTAAAGCAATTTTTGAAGAACTCACTCCGGAAATTATTAGAATGTCAAAAAGTGTATACGCTCACTTCCTGGTTATTAAAATGCTTCGACACTGGTATGCATCATTGGCTCTGTTTACGTCTTTTTCTCCTCCTTCAGACTTCTAGCGTTTCATTCTTTAATTACATGAAAAATATATGTTAATTTTTTTAGTGCTCCAGCAAACCGCAACGTTATAATTGAGGCTTTCCGTGGCCATTGTGTTTCGTTAATGAAAATGCAGGGGACTGGTTCGGAAGTGTTGGAGTTGGCATATAACGATTTTGCAACTGCCAAACAGCGCTGGAATATTATATCTGAATTTTATGGACCAGAATTTGTGTTTTTCAAGGTGTCGAAAAAATTATTTCTAGAAATTAATTTTTTTTTAGTCTTTAATTCTTTTATTTTTATCTTTTGTTAACGTTTTGGTGATCTATTTCTTGCCGTTTTGTTTACTGAATTCATCTGCTTAAAGATACAAATGAATATATTTAGGACGAGGGGACTGAATTTGGATCGCTTAGTAAAATTTTGGAAAGAGAGCCTGCTAAGAAAGACATTATTGTGAAGTATTTGGGAGGGATACTGATGGACATTGTTCCCAAGTAAGCAGCATTAAGAAGCTATTATTTAACTTTGTCGAGTAATGTATGGAATTTGTTTTAACGGTTCTTAATTTTACATATTTAATGCTTCATTTTTTTTTTTACTTAGCTGCAGTTTCAATTATTTCATTTAAAGAAAGATGAGTTTTTTTGAAGTTTAAAGTGCATTTTAACTCCTTATGATTTGAGAACACTGTTGTAGGTCTCAGTTGAGGTTTAGTCTGACTCATCATTTGTTACGCGATTTTTTCACCTATTGCAACAAGGATCAAAGAACCGAAATGATTGATTCGCTTCAAGAAAGGATACCTGAAGTTGGTTTTTTGTTTATTTGCATATTTACATCGACTTGCTGCTCTTTTTCCTTTATTATTATTATTTTTTTTTGGTTTCCTTCACTCATCTCTTGACAAGTGACTTTAGATAATTCATACTGCTGATGGCTCGTACGTTGCCTTGTATTGTATTTGGTATGGCAGCACAAAAGAGCGCAAGGTATTTTTCATTTTAAAGTTTTATTCTAGTGACCGAGAAGTTTCATTATATTTTTAGTTAATGGTCAAAAATTTCAAAGGATACGTTGTGAAGGCGGCTCGAGAAGAATTTGGTCACCGTGTTCTTATAGGAATTTTTGACAGTGTGGATGACACAGTATTGGTATCAAAGTTTATACTTAAAGTATGGTTTTCTATCATTTTTTTTTTTGTTTTTCGTTTGTGCCAGGACTAGTTTAAAATCAGTTTAGGAGTTGGGGGATAACATCAGGGATGTTGCTATGGATTCTTACGGCGTACGGGTTTTACATTATTTGGTACGACCACGTAATCCCTTCTATTTCCCCAAGAATTACATTCAAATATTTCGTAAGGTTTGTTTTGTCAGTTGTCGTTTAATTCACGGTTTTGCGTGTTTTAGCGTCATATGGGTCGTTAACATTTTTTAGGGGGACAATAATGAAAATAGTAAAAAGGAATCACAGCAGCGTTATTCAGAGTTGTTCAACAATATTTCTACGCCACTTTTCAAGTTTTTGGCTGGAAATATGGAACGATTGATCTTTGTTGCAAACACAGCTCTTCTTGTACTGAATTCTCTTCAACGCCCCGGTATTTCATATAATTTTTCGCTATTAGTTTAATAGTTGTTTATTACTTGCTGTAAATTTATTTTCATTAAAAATTATTAACTTTAGCAGTGCAGTAGGTTAGATATCTGCTTTGATTGCAGTTTCAAAAAACATGTATTTCTTTTTTTGTTTACTATGCTTTGATTCTTTTCCGTAAACCAGCATTTATCGAAGGGCGATGAAAGGTTTCTGATATCACTTTCGAGGTTGTTTTTGAAAGGTGCTACGTTGCCTGATACAGTAAAGACTTCAACGGTAGTTTAATGACCGGGAAAGAGGCAGATTGAAATTTTTATTGATTTGAAGTAGGGAGAATAGGGAAATTGGGAAAAGTAAAGCGGTCTTTAATAAATTTTTTATGTTAGGAAGCGGAAAACGAGTGATAATTGAGAAACTGGTGCAGATGATGGCTTGATGCTATTTCATTGCTAATAATTTAGGCGACCATGATTTATATCATCGTAAAGTCAGCGACAGTGATAGGCAAGCGTGCTATGAGGCAATAGCAAAAGTATGTAGCGAGGAGTTTATTCCTTGCAATGTGGAGCGGTTTCATGCCATTGAGCACCCTCAGGCACATTTTGTAATCTCGCAGTTGCTAATGTCTGATGATAGTTTCGACGTGAAACTTAGTGATTCGCTAGCCAAGTTGGATCCTAGCCTTTTGTCTTCCTGGGTAAAAAAGAAATATTTTTTTCTTTTTTATTTTTTAACAGTCATTCCTGTTCTTAGTGGTTCTTTTTAAACTAGACGTTCAAGAAGGGTTGGAAAAACTCCTAATTTGTATGATTTGTTTTTTCAACTGTCTTAGGAGTACTGGAGAACTCAATTTAGCTTTTAGGTGTCGTGCAATAAAGGATGCTTTATCCTCTTACATATGTTTGAATATGGGACGTCAAAAACTAAAGAGTTGCTGTGCAAGATAATTTCACTGAGTTATTTGAAGACGTATAACAGTAACGGAGCGAAGGCATTGTATAAAAAGCTAGGTAGTTTGACAGTTAATTTCTCCTCTCAAGTTTGACGTTTAGCATGACACGTTCTGTAAGATACTGCAGTTTATTGCTTTCTTGGGTGCAGATGTTAAAAATCCATTGGCCTTTTTGGATTACAGCTGTGTTAATTCTGAAATAAGATTATATATATTTCGGCCATTTGATATAAATCTATTGTTTATATTCATTTTAACTGTTTTTCTAGGTGAGGACAAAAATTGAGACGTTCAGCATTGAAGCCTCAAACGTATTAGAAAATGTTGTGGTTGCTGTGTCATTTTAGTTCACTTGGACGTTGGAGAAAATGCCTTGGTCTCCCCTAAAAAAGTTATTGTAATTGAAGAAGGAACCAGTAGATTGTTGTTTGATTATGAATTTTTGGTGAGAGAAGTATTGAATTATTAATTGCAGTCGTACTAAGTTCTTCCTTTGTTTGGCAATTATCTCTTCTTTCAGATTTGTTAAATATATTGTTTTACTAGAAGAAATGGTGCGTACGTGCTGCCTTTAGCTGCTTTCAAAGCTTGTACAGTGTGTGATTCACAATTTTTTTAAATCTGTTGTTCCATTTGTTTTTTGTGGTATGGGGCGAACTGAATCGATTCGTACGTCTGAGCACCAGTGTAAGAGATATTTTTTGTCCAAGCGGGTCCATGTGATTGCTATTGTTGAGTTTATCATTGTTTTCTGAGGTTTTGTGTTGTTTTTTTGTTTCTCCTTACCTTCATATTCACAATGACTGAAAATTTCTGCCTTATGCGTTGTACTGTTTGTTCTATCTTTTAGTGAGGCGCTAGTTGTTTTTGTTACGCATTTTTTTTATATTGTTGTTTTGTGGTAATTTTCTCACCTATCGTCGGACATTTATTTCTCCGCATTCTTTCAATGAAGACTTTTTGGATGTTATCGGATCGCTGAGTTGAACTATCATTAACATTATAGTCTCTTAACTATTTATAGGACATGGAGGGAAAATTTTACAGCAACAAGCAGCGAAATAAACAGAAAATTGAAGTTTGCGTAACCAGCGCATCACGAGGTTTAACAAATAGAAAGAAAGAAAGGAATATGGCTCTAGGTGTAAATGAAATAAGGTTTTCTAGCCATAATTAAAGGTCTAACAATTTACAATATAGCTGTTAATTACTGTCAGCAGCTAAGTACGTTGATGTAGGGAGTGGATCACAGTTAAGGCTCCAATTTGTTGTTAGTGAGTGTAGGTGTTTCATCAATTAATTGAGGCTTGGCTTGTTTAGTGAAGGGCGCCTTCTTGCGTCGTCAACGCTAAGGAAGTCTTTTCGTGACCTTCCAGGTACAGAACCAGCTCTGGCATTCCTAAAAATTTATAGAATTGCGCCTAGTTTTTTTTACGTATGTCATTTATTGAGGGCAGTCTAATAACTCAAAGGCGTAGCAACTTGCATACTTCTTGGTTCTTCGTTCAGAAGCAAAAATTGGTCAGTAGAGACATGAAAACCATAAGCTCTTCTTTATAGAGGCTCATGACTTATTTATGAAATTAATCTTTTGCTTTTTAACAAATATAAAATATAAATAAATCAGCATATATAAACACATAGCCTAATATAATACTATAGTGCGTTCTAAGTATTTCGCCTTTTAAGTTTCAGCACAAGTTAGCTGGGAAAACAGATACGGTAGATCGGTTTTTAACTGTTTTATACTGTTGAAGCTAACATAATTGGTATTGCTTTTGATGCAATTCTTAGAAGGAATGTTCCTACGGTCATTAATAACCATCATCAAAAATCATCTGGCTTTTGATAAATTTTCTTAATTGTTCTGTAGGGTTTTTACATAAATTATTATTTTTTGGTTTAGAAGTTGAAGGAATCAACCTTTTCGTAGGTATGGCATAGTCTACGGCTGGCACTGAAGCATTCCGGACTGAGATATCTGATGAATCTCGTAATTGGACCGTTGATGGCTGCCGTTTTACTATTGAAGGAGTTGGAAGTGATAACGAGTACTGCGACGGTTCACGGGAAATGTCCAGTGATGGTAAGGAAGGCAGTTTTGACCGAACATGGGATAGGCGTTCAAAAAATGACAATATCGACGCATCACGTGACATATTGCCGCCAGAAAATTTTCCTGATGTTAGTGGTCTTGATAGCGACAGTTGAGAAACATCTCGTGACATTGTCGGTGTAATGTATGGATCAGCATTCGGTACTGTTAAAGTGTTTCTGTAGTGTGAATATCTGTACCGTCGGTACCGCGAAGAGATAGACATCGAAACAGAGGAATATGAATATAGCCGTTTACGCACTTCTTCAGTTGCCTTAAAGTACTTTTTATTTGATGGGCCAAAAATTTTTAATTTAATCGCTCATGATACTGTCCAAAGTGTGAATTTTGGAAAATATTTTATTTTGAATACTGTTTGCTAGAAGACTGGCTAGTTAAAACATTATTGAACTCGTAGTTTACCTGAGTCTTTAAACGCATTCGTTTGTAGGCAGATCGAAATGTTGAACGAAAATTTTGTGACATAAAGGCATAGCAAACTGGATTTATACACGACTGACAATATGCCTAAATATTAATTTTATAAATGCGGTAATAAATTTATCAGTTCTTTCATTTATATTTTTGCTCAGAATATTCTGTTCTTTAGTAAAGCAGAAACTTTTGTAAATATCAGCAGTTCTTGTTTGCAGATAAGAAAGCTGAACGTTGAACGCAACATCATTTTCTAATATAGCAAATTATCAAGGAAAAGTTCTAAAAGAAACTTTTCCTTTCTAAATTTACAGTATTCCAACCAAAGATAAGTTACTGTATTTGTCATTTCGTCAGGAATTCCTAACCGGTATTTTAACTCAATACGTAGCAATATAGTACTTCAAGAATTATGGCGCTATAGAAGGTATTATCCTTTTTTTAAAATTACGTTATTAAATGGAAAAAAAATCACAAAACAAAAATATGAAATCTAATTTGATTTTGCAGACGAAAAAGTACGGTATACTAATCATCAGGAAAAAATATTTAGTTTTAAAAAAAAGGTCTTGATTAACATCAAAGCTTATCTTTATTTGCGCTACACTAATTTCAGCTATTCATCTGCTTTACTGACTAATATATGCATACTGCATTTAAGTCGTAAATCAAAAAAAAAAAAAAAAGAAGGTGAAATTTGACTTCAAAAATGCTGTTGTTGCAGCAAAAAAAAAATTTTTTTCCATACCAGTGCATTAAATGCCATTCGCATAGCCCTTAACGTCGGTGTATTTGATGGCCTACAGATGTACCCAAAACTTGTCAGTAACTCGTCAACTGCAAAATAAAATACTGCTATATAAAAGACAAGTTGGCATTATCGTTAATCCGTTTTTTTTTGGGCTCTCTGTGTCTGTTTGTATGTTACATAATGAACGCAGTTTAAAAAAATATATATATGATTTTTCAGAAAGAAAACTAATAAAACGGGAAGGAAAGTGAGAAAGTCAGAAAAAAAAACTTCCTCAGATGAAGAGTGACCGAAAGATAATTACATTTTCTTTTCCACTTATTGAGAGGCTTCGTTTGAAAGTAACAAAAAACTATACATATAAATACGCTTATTTATTTGTATTTATGTAAAGTATTCCGGTGAAGTCGTGAAACTGAGGTTAGGAACAATATCAAAAATAGACAGAAAAAAGGTTCTCATTTTAATCGATTAAATTCAGCTGCGTGTTCCTTAAAATATAGGTTGTGAGTGTGTAGGAGGGAAACACAAAGTGGGGAGGATGGAGCAGAAGTAAGCGTAGGCGATGCGGGGGAGAAGTGAAGGTAAAAGAGCAACAAAAAACTAGAAAAGAAAGTTGTTGACGAAAGAAAGATTGATCTGTTACTAAAAATAGTTGTTGATCAACTTAAGTCGGTAATTAACTGGGCTATGATATCAACCAGAACGACAGATATCGTCAAACACGGCTAACCTATAGTTGGAGTTCGACAAAGTGTGTAAAGAACAACAATAGCGATTAGCATCTTGATAATCTGAAACATTTTGATTGATTATTCTGATAGGTTAAGCTTACTGAAGAGATTATCGTTTATCGTACTTTTTGCACTAATTTTGCCTAATTGAAAAAAAAAGGATTTGAATGAATTAAATTAAATTGTTTTATGCAAATACTGGTTAGCTTCTCGATTGATAACTTTAACGTTAGACTGTTGCAAATAAAGTACAATTTCTCTTCAGTCGATATTCTGCACAATTATAGTTTTATTCAAATGAATGATAATGGTTAAAAGTTGAAAGGCAAAGCATTTTGCCTATATATTTAACGCATAACTTTTTTTTGCTTACTATATTCATGAATCAATTAATTGTCACTCCTACAGTGACAACATATTCAGCAGATTGAAGTTTGAGAAACAT